TCCACTATTACAAATATCCCCAGTGGAATTAATCCATATTATCTTTAAACATAACATTGTGAACTGGAAATACATTGAATTGGACACTCACCTTGGTTATATAGCCAAGGGTACTTATTGATACTTCTGATAGTGTAAATTGGTCATTTGTGGTTAGCAAAGCTAAAAGCTGAAAAACGTTCTAATGAATCGACGGTTATGCTACCAAATAACAAACCATGCGGATGGACTAACAACGTCGGCTGGTTGTAATGCAAACTTCGAACAATACGTGCTCTGTTACTGATGGTGGAACCTATCTGTGCAATGGCAGATGGAAGCCCATGCCCGTCTCATGATCTGCGGAAAGATTTAATAAGGCCAGGTACATCGATAAATCAGTATGTGGATCATGTAACACCGAATGCTATTCTGTAAACTTTCCAGAATTATCAGTTCGACGGTGCTTGTAAACTGTTAAATCCATTATCCGAGAATAAGAATTGTTATTATCTTCACTTTGAGGCTCTGCATATGCTGCAACGTGGTATTTTCTTCGTCTCATGACCACGATCTTCTTGACTTTTTTATAGTTTAACGAACTCCCCCCCCACTGTACTATTCAGGACCAGTAAAATCTTGTACATTTTTCAACATGCTTCAATGTGACGATGTCGGTAAACTGGGTTCTCTAATGTAAAATTACTAATGTGAGAATGAAATATTTATTCATTTATTTATGAGCTATGGAATTCCCTTCCTGAAGACGTCACTGCAACCCCTTCTACCTTTTAAATTTAAAGTGAAATTGGATATTCCCCAAGAGCTTTGCGGCATACGTGAGATATAATCATAAAGCTTCCTACCGTCTTCCAGATCGAGCGTAGCAGCAATTCCGGGAAAGATCTCGATAAAAACAGTTGATAACCCCTGCCGCTTTGGGGCCTCAGTCACCGGGACAAGGACTGTTAAACTGCTAATAAAGAGCACCTGCTATTGACACAGGTGCAGAACTTAAAAAACCACTGACGGCTTTCTTTTTGACATGAAGTCTGAAACTGACCAAACTCAATCCTCCACCCGGATGTTGAAATCCTCAAGTCTCCTATATCGACCCACCATTTTCCTCTACCAGCTACGATGACTTCACACCTAACTGACTTCCTCATTATCATTAGTTTTGTGAGAAGAGGTCTACAGCTTTACACTGACTATAGAAACAGAAGTTGATTGTATTGAATACAGGAAGTTCTGAATATTCTGTTTCAGGTGCCTATGCAGACGGGAGCCAAGACAGTCCCCTAACCTTCCCAGTAACCTGTAGCTCCCGATCGCTCTAAAAATTACGACTTACTAACTCACAAAACATCCGCCTCACCGAGGCTATAAGCTGGAAAGTTGAGGAATTTCCTCATCCACTGTAATAGTGAACCGAACAACTCGAACCAGGCCCTAAAAACTGGACGCGAGAGATCAAAAACTATCAGTTTTCTACGCGCCCACCAATGATTTGGAATCGCTGTGCAAGACCTAGAGGCCAGCGCTAAGCAATCGATTGGTTTACACTAGCTGGTAAAAGGATATTGGATATTGGATGTCGGAGTCAGTGATCTCGCCATATGCGCTGACTGGTGACTCAGGTACATGGAGTAAAGAAGCTCCCGCCACTACAGCACCCACCCAGGTAGAAAATAAAACGCAGAATAACGAAGCGACGCCAGTCCTATGAGGACTTGCGACGCTACGCTCAACCACGTAAGTGCTCCTTCCACGAAAATACACAACCACCCCTACCATCTACACCCACCAGGCACGCTCTAATATGCATGTACAGCAACGTTGGCAGGCTAAGAGGGAAAGTATCAGAGATGAGGACGCCGTATGAACGTCAGCACTCTGACATAATATTTATCACCGACTCCTGGCTCTCGCCGGACATCTCCGGCGAGGGGATGCGTGTCACTGGCATGGAACTCTTCCGCAAGGACAGGGAGCTCAGAGCGGGAGGGGGAGAGTCTCTCTGCCTAAGCTCCAGTTTAAAGGCAAGGGTGGTTGGCGATACTGCCTTAACCCAGCTCCCAGAATCTCTATGGTTCTACTTCACTCTCCACCTTATCAAATACCTGCTCTCAGTCATATATAGGCATTCTACCAGCTCCGCTACACACAAGGACATGGTCACCAGGGCAACCTCGACGACCTCCTCCACAAATTACGATTCCGCAATCATTGCCAGAGACTTCAACGCCCCTTCCATCGTCTTCGAGACGGAAGGGTGACGCATCAGGTCCTTCAATCAGAAACTGAAGCTTGGCCTCGGTGACCACGCAGTAATAATCCTCTCTGTGATTACTAGGGAGACCCTGCAACCGGCGACGCTTAACACCTTGGCTCTCTGCACCAAGGATAACCATGACACCATGAGTGACAATCTCATGAATGCTTCATGGCCGGTAGACTGGACCCATCTCACAATATACGGACACTGGTTACAGGTGGAGAAAATAATTGCTGGGGCCATCAGTCACTGTGTATCAGAGGTGGCACACAGACCGTCAATGGGTACACCATGGCCAAAACGTGGGGCAGAAGGGCCAATTCAGAGCAGGAAGCATGCTTGGTTCAAGTGGCGTCCGTCACACAGGGAGTCTGACCTTTTGAACCCAAAAGGAATTCGCAACCGCCGTGACATAATAGAGCAAAGCGACAGATTCTCCTATCAACAAACCTGGCGGAGAGGTTGCGAAGCAATCCCAAAAACCTGTGCCGGTTCATGCCGAAAAGGAAGTCGACCACCAAGGAAGTGAACCTTATTACAGGTCCTGATAGCAGTGTACTGAGTGGTCTGGAGATCCCCGAGCTTCTCAGCTCACACTTCTAAGCCCGACTTAGTACCGACACCAAATCCACACCAACTCCTTACGACACCGTCCAAGTCACAAATAACGAATACCTCTCCCACATGTCAATCAGAGAAAAAGTGTTGAAGAAACTATCCAGGCTAAGTCCAGGCAAGCCTCCTGGCTGCGATAACCTAGAACCGGTGATCCTAAAGAGCTGCGCCGAGGTGCTTGCGAAAACAATCTGCTACCCCTTCAAGCGCTCAATAGAATCGTGCGCCATCTTTAACCCATCTTCAAGGGAGGAGACAGAAGAGGCCCTGGCAGCCAGAGGCCAAGTGCCCTACTCCTTATTGCGCCAAAAGTGTTGAGAAGCATGGTAGCTGACCCTATATGGAAATTCCTCAATAGGGAAAACACAGTGCATAGTGCTCAGCATGGATTTCGGAGTGGTCGTTCATGCATCGCCACTTACTAACCCCCCTTTTATACACCGGACATTAAGCTGGAATAACAGAGAACCTGTACGTATTGTTTTTCCCGACCTAGCCGAAACGTTTGACAGTGTCCCACCCACGGTCCCGCTTCACAAGATCATGACGGCTGGCACAAGTGAACCCCCACTCTCTCGGTTCAAGGAGTCACTGGAAGGGAGGCAGTCTTGCACCAAAGTAACCAGAATAAGGTTGGAGCGAAGCTGTCGACCACAGAGTATCCCAAGGAGCAATCCTAGGACCTCTTCGGTTCCTCCTGTTTGTCAACGATCTGCCAGACAAAATACCCTCATCCATCCTCCTCTTCTCTGATGACATTAAAATTTAGAGGGTGATAAACGAAGAAGCTGACCACACAACACTACAAATGGACTTGCAGCAACTCGAAATCTGGTCGTCGGAAAATGGTTTGGGCTTCACCTAGAAAGTGCAAAGTAATGCACATCAGTAATTATGGAGCAAGTGCGAATGACTTCCAGTACATGTTGACAACTGTGCCATCATCAGAGTGTCCATGGAGAAAGATTCGGGCTGAACTTCTCCGACACCTTGAACACCAGCTCCAACTGCAAAGATCTGACAACCAGAGTGAACGTCATTCTGCACTTTTGCGTAGAAAGCTTGGCGCCCCCACCCCGAAACTCTTTTTCACCATTTTCAAATCCCACGTGCGACACCATATAGAAGTCTCCAATACGGTGGCCACTCAGCACTCAAGAGAAATTCTAATCTCCTTGAAAAGATACAAAGAACTGCAACAAAATCAGTTGTGGGGCTAAGGGGAACGACGTATCCTGAAAGACATAAACACCCAAACTTATTCACTTTGGGCTGTCGTAGGAAGAGGGGCGACCTTATTATGGCATACAAGATCGCCCGTCAGGCAGACCATGCAAACAAATCAATTTCGCCTGCAACTCAACGATCTTCACAAGGAAACCCCATTAAGATAGCGCACCAGAGAGCCAACACCATACTCAGGTCCAAATTTTTCTCCCTAAGAGTATGTGCTTTATGGAATGCCTTAGCACGACATCGTTATAGCTCCTTCAGTCGACTCATTCAAGAGATGGTTAGACAGTTATGTCACCTCGCATGGACTACCACGGACGTACTCAGGTAGTCACCAACCTCACTGGCCCCCAACTCCCTCCTAACTACCACTCACTATCTCCCTCCTTTATACACCCACATCACCTACTAATTCCTCTGTAGGAACCAAACCCACGCGACCATTTGGGAAATCCTTAAATACTTTTCTTTCGCTCTCATTTCCCTTTTCACCCCTCCTTTTCTTCTCCTTCCATGTTCTCTTCCCTCTATTATTGTTTTTTTCCTCTCTTTTTTTATTCTCTCTTCATTCTTTTGCCACTACTTTACTACTCTCATTCAGTTACCTACACAGACAGAAGTCATGGCAGTTCCCTAAACTTCCCAGCTATCTGTAGCTCCGCAATCATTCCACAAATTACAACTTACTAGCCGATAAAACATCCACCTCACGAAGCTAAAAGCAAGAAGGCAGAGGGGATTTCCTCGTCAACTGTAAGGATGAACCGAACAACTTGAACCAAGCCCTAAGAACTACACGCGAGAGACCAAAAACTACCAGTTTTCTACGCTCACACTATCAATATTGGATATTGAATATTGAAAATTAGAAGATGTCATGACAACTGTTCTTGTACTTTTATGAAAAATGTCGGCATTAGATGACGAGGACAGTATTTCATCAGTCATTTCACTTTTCCGTACCATAGAGGAGAAAGGAAAATATGTCGGACGAGTAAGAAGTGCTGTGATTTCCTGAAAGATTACCCCATCCATAATTTAGACGAATGTACTACACTCAGTTGTATTAGTTGGGAAAATATCACCACATGTGACTGACCATCAAGCAGTTGGAAGTAAAACTGAAATACACAGATCACGACATAAAATTAGACTATTTTGAAGCTATTGCACTAAAATTTTCACCACCAGATCATGTAACTGGTCTACTGATGGTTTATCCTTACCACGTAATCCACATAATAGAGGTAACTCTGCAACTTTAGCCTTTAACTTGTGCAGTCAAGTTTCAGAACCCTGCTTAAAATTTTCAGAGCCATGAACGAGTCGGAAAAGATCATAGAATGGTACATGAAACCATACACTGAACTCGGTGATATAGACCTTAAAAGTGATGATAAAAGAAAACCTTTCGGTGGTTTTGACGAATCTACCATAAAAACGGAGCTCAAAAAACATGCCTTGGGACCTACTATACACAATCGAATAATTTGTGCAATAGATAACGTCACTAATAGGATATTCCGCACATACGAGGTGTTGATATTTGATATGGAACCGACAATAATATCTGACTACGACTCAAACGAATCTGATAGCAAAAAGCTACTCAACTTACTCATTCAGGTAACTAGACTGAGTATATATCTTGCAGAAGAGCCAATGAAAGTAAGTTCAAGGGAAATTATGCCAATTTCTTTCCTTCTATATAAATGAGACCTGTTTAGGAAGTTTTTTCACTTCAAACGTTTAATTCTACATTAGGTGGTGTGTAAGCGTGAAAGCTCTTTTAAAATCTAGGCCCATTCCGGGATGATTTGAATAATGACCCCATATATATTCTGACACACTACTGGTATTAAATGCATCACTGGCTCATTTGATTTTATACTACATCAAGTGAAAGGTAAGAGAAATATGTGGAAAAGTTACTTTCAAAACCCCATAATGTATGACTACATATCCTTTATGCATAGACCACATTAAATTTTCAGGACTAAGGATGGCACTTCAAATGGTTATGGTAATTCTTTATGATGCTGAGTGCTCCAAAGACCCAGTTTTTAGAAGACAGTGAGATGATCATTTTGCAGATTTCACTGTTCATATAGATGTTTCCCACAACTGAGTAGTTTTTCGAACGTTTTGCTGTGATTTTAACCGTATTTTCGTTGGAAATCAACTAGATGAATCTATCAAGAGATATAGAAGTGTGATAAACTAATGAAATATCTAGCAAAAATCATCATTATTTCGAAACCATGAAGAGAGACTTAAGCAACTGAGGTCTATTAGCTGCTGACGAGCTCGTCTCCGAAGAATCAAAATAATTATCTAGTGTTCAGATCGCTTTGATCTAATCGTCTCAATCTACTAGTGAAATCCAACACTTTCTAACTATGCATGTTATTTATAAGAACACTTCTTTGCTTCGAAAGTGTCCATGAAAGGTGCAAAATTCTTCTTGATTCACATTCAAGCAACAAGAACGAATTTCGAGAATTGAACAACTTGCCCGAAGTCGTTTGGCATTTCGGTGACGTCCTCTCAAGCAATGACCTACAGAGTGAGAAAACAGGATATAAGTACCTAAACCATCACTTAAAATATAGTAGACTAGTACGAATTCCCTCTTCAGTCTGCAGTAAGATAATGCAGATAAGTCAATTCGATCTGATCGTTTCTCGTAGGAGAGCTTACAGAAGCTGTTGTCATTTTAATGTTTAATCAGTCAACCCGTTCCAATATGCGTTTCATATTTGAAAGGTGAGGTTACTACTTGCATCACACGTTCTAAACGATGTGTGATAAATTTTGGACATAATTTGCCAAACACCTTTAAATACCTCACTTGAATAAATTTTGAGTAAAGAATATCGTTAGCAATAGTTTGAAAAGCCTGTCCAGATGGTTTGGTACACCAGAATAGGCTTGTAGTCAAAAGCTTCATATCTTTTGTATATCTTTCGTGAATCTTCCAAGACTGTGGTCTGCGATAGATTGTTAAATCATATGCAGGAAATTGTGTTGATAGAATTCAACCAAATCCTGTCCTTTTTTGTACTAGATAGCTATTGAGTGATCAAGGTAGACATCTGAAACGCCAGCTAACTCTATCGTTATACTTTAGGGAAACAAAGTAGAAGGATAAATTTCTTGAAGGAAGGGTGATAACTGGATTCCATAGACCAACGTAAATTCATCACTTTTCAGGTGTTTTGGGAATTAGTATTAGAGGGAAATTCATTGGGTCATGATTATTTCTCTTTCATGTCAAATCTCAAAGGTATTTGCACTTTTCAGCTCACAGAATCGGTCTTTTCGAATGAAATCAGTAATCTGAAGGTATGCGTTTACAGGACTGACAATGAACTTGTTACCTTCAGCGGTTGCCAAGTGGCAGGAAAACTAACAGTTTTACTCGTCTATCCGAATTTCATATAACAACATGGTAACTGACCATAGTACTTCGACGTTCTGCCAAAACATTTGAGGAATAACTCATGCACATTAGGCATATGTGAAAAAAGATTATCTAAAGACCAATCCACAATTTCCATAGTTCCACACCATTTCATTGCGCATGAAAGCGTAACACACCAAGAAACAATAAAAATATTCTCATACGATCTCATATATAAAAAGACACAATTCAATCGCTTGTGTTCATGAAAGTAAGACACGAAGTCAGTCTCAGATGAATGTTTGTGATTAATTGGTCGGAAATTCTGCGACAGCAGTTAAACTTATAAAATCCCTTATCATGCTACTTCGTTTTCACAGAAATAGATCAAGAGGCGTTTTATGTGTTTGTTAACCATTTTCTGACCAACCGAAGGTAGGTTTTAAACAACAGAAATGCTGCATAGTTATGACCTCTCACTACTCATCAGTCCACCTGACCTGATAAAAGCTACCTAATCAAGTATGTCTTTAAGCAATTTAAGAGACAATCCTCTAGGTATTATTCTTAACGGTTAATAAAGGAATGAATAAAAAAGATTTGGACACGAGTTAAGACATAATTTCCAGTGATAAAGTAACAAGCAGAATCAAAGCAGCCAAAATGATTAATTTTATCTCATGAAGTAAATCTTGAAAGTTTCATAACTCCTCTTTGTCGAACAGTTGAAACTACAGGAATATGAACCATAAAACTCCGGTGTTCAACCGCAGTTACAATTTGAATCCATATTTTAGTTCATATCATGTTGCCCTGAAGTAATTATGAGGGATAAAACTGTGACTGGAGATCCATCTAGTTATTTCGCTGTATGTTAAACATAATAAGGAACCATCACGAAATTTATCTACCTCAGAATTAGCTAATTTTACTCAGTTCCCTACTTTAGAGCAACAAAGGCTTTCTTAGTAAAACAAATTTCCAAGATAATCACCTGATTACTTCATATGTCAACTAAATCCTTTTGAAATACATAAGTGTTAAGTTTCTCATTTAGTATGGAATCACTGTTATTTCTGAAAACAAGAATGCGACCTAATTGCTGATGTCTTTCTTTAATCTGGAAATTCGAATGTAGACATTCAATATTGCTTACATAGTAGAGAAATATAATTAATTCATATGTTCAAAAAAGATTACTCTAATGATAACACAACTATATTTCTTATTACCTTCCAAACAATCCTATCGAAGGTATCAGTTGATAAATCTTCTAGTAAAAATATTTTCTCAGCTCCCACAGCATGTAGTACGACCTTCAATATAACGATTAAAATTTACTGATAATATCAGCTGCTAGAGGAACACCTGTAGTGGAATGTTTATCATCGTAGGCTTCAAATATTCTCTTTCTGAGTTAAATAACTGCTGATAAAACACTCGCAGTCCATTTAATTCAAAATACTTAATTTAAAGCTACTTCTGGTAAATTAAATCATTCATGACTTGGATTAATAAGTTATTTGTTGACACAATTTCTGAGAATTTTCAGTTATCTAAATCTAGAAAATCCAACTTTCACTAAAATCATCATTCTGTCCGATCAAAGGTAGAATCTTTCGATTTGTTTTATGATAAATATTAGCAAGGGCAAGTAAGGACTTTTTCACCTTTTCAAATATAATATGTCAAAGCTTGAAAAATATTTATATTGGTCGATATGTAAAACCAGAAATTTTATATATCCTTACGCAATCACTAAATTTTGTGTTAAAAATGCTTTGTCTGCTGATCTCAGTAGACAAGACGATGGATGAACAGATGTGAGCGCAGTCTGTACTAGCATTAAAACACCAAAAGAAGACGATAAGAGACCCAAAGTAGCCAAAAATACTAGCTCTGATAAACTTATAAGACGAAAACAGCGTGAATGTCGCTAAATGTAGAAAACGATTCAACATTGGTTGTGAACAAATCAAATTATTTCTTGAAAGATAACAAACATCTACACACCTATCGACGCTGTTCCGAATAAGATCAAAAAAATCTCGTAAAATTTGAAAGCTACTCTTGTGCTTCATATAATTGTAGTGTGAGGATGACTGACAGCAGATTACGTGGAACATTATTTTCTGAATAAACTTTTTTTTATCATTATAGGGTCAAAAGGAATATGTTCCTGAAATTTTCAAAGTGAGTTTAATGGTGCATACATATTAGAAGTATCAGTGATACTCTACGCTGCGTATACAACATCCATATATTATACAATGAAAGTCAACAAAATATTTATTGGTTCAGTTTCACGACCGATCAAAATATGTGCTTTTTACATGCTCACCGGAAATGACAAGGAGATTTATTGATAATAAATTCGTATGGATAAGTTTATTTGTAACAAACTGGTTTAGTAGACCGTATTCGAGTATAAAATACAGGTGAGGCATATGGGAGCTTCAGTTTTAAAACTAAAAAGATACCATTAGGAAGTTGAACTGATTAGTTTTACAAAAATAAAGGTAACACAAGTTACTGATGTTAAGTTTTCATGAACTACTTAGAATACCGGGTGTCTAGCCTGTTTATTAATCGCCTAGTCGTCAAGTAAACATGATTCTTTTTACTGATCCATAGGTAGTGAAAATAACCACAATATATTCTTATACATGAGTTTCGGCTGATCGTGACACTGGCATGGTATTTCATTTTGCAGTCACTAATTACTTTCTTCAACGACTGATAGACTTGGGGCTTACCAATACATTCGTTATTTGCTGATTGGTAAGACTAGTAGACTTCGAACAAATTCTGTGGTCTCTTTTGTGTCTGCTATTCAAGTTATCGACATTCCTGATACGGAATTTATATCCATATACATCGATATTAGAGGGAATATGTGGTGAAGCAGATCAACTTAGCTGATATGCGTGCTTACAAAAACAAAAAAGCTTATGATCTTTTCCAAAGTGATGTTTCTCACATTTTTTGAAGTATACTTTGTAGCTAGTATCTAACTCATCTGCCCTTTGGCTTAAATATTCCAGAAAAATGAGCATTTCTGTTTTCGTGCGTCACTAACTTCCGAAAGTTTCAGTGGTTTTGCTATGATTTTTCAGGTGTTAATTAGGGCTCAAAAGTATGAGTTGGATGGTATGTATAACTCGGTGCGTAACTGTCTGACTCGTAGTAGAGGATAAACTGCAGACAAACTGAAGTTTTGAGATCCACTGATAACTGGAAACTAAAATTTATGGGAAATAAATTAACACTGTTCGAATACCGAGGTATTGTTCTAACTAATAAACATGGTTGTGCCTAGATTGTATTGCGAAAATTGAATTTATTTGGTATTACTTAGCGAATAAACTCGGGAGCTTCTACTTCATAGTTTGTTTGGAAGAACACCTGACAATACACCAGAAGATGTTATCCGAACTCAACAGCAACTGTAAGGTCAATCCTGGTAATCCTAACTGGAGGTCCTACATTTTTTGAAGAATAATTCATAAAGTACAGTTAAACTAAGAAAGCCTTTCGGAATCAGTAGTCATATTCTTCTGGAGCTTGAATACCTTATAATCCTGTAGTTATTTGTTTATTCCTCCATCATATACTTTTGTTTCAATATCACTTTGGTCCCTTTGATTTCATGAGTCTGTCATATAGCAAAATGTGGTGCATCGAACCGATGGATATCTGTGAGTTTTATGTTTTCGCTTTCTGTAGTTGACATTATAATATGAGTAGTAAATCATGCCGCAAGAGGTCATTATTTTAGGTGGCAGACAATGCAGAATTGTACAATCAGAATGTGATATACTTATCGTGTACCATGAAAAAGGTACTGCTGATAATTAAGTGAAAAATTAGGGCATAAAGTAATTGGTGAATCATGTTCAGACACCCAAAGAAGCCTTCACCATATCTCCTTATGCATTTGTCAATTGAATTAGCCATTGAATTTTGTTTACTATTTTTTGACTTACCACAGTGACTAGCAATGTAATTCCATTACTGTGGGGTTTCGTGTACTTATTATTGAACTTTTAGAATTGCCTGAAAAACAGATACACTTGTTTGAGCTCATGATTCATTTATGAATATAAGAATATGATTACTATCTTTTTTCTTGTTTTGTCAACTTATGCTTACTAGTTTTTGTTCGTATCGTGTCACAATGCCAAAAACAGTATACGGAATTTGTATAGGGAAGCTGCGTATCTGATTATTTTTGGTTAAATTCATTGAATTTCTGTTCTTTTTATGCCTACAACCACATCTTGAAGATCGATTCCTAAAAGTTGAGTGCCTTACTGAAGCTTACTGCATATCAAACGAATACACCAAATCAATTAATATAAGTATAAAACTTGGGCATTGTGATAGGATATGATTCTATATTAGATCTGTCTATTTGATATACAGCTCAGAGTGATAGTTTTATTGACATGATGACGTTTCGGCCATAAATTATTGCTCATAATCATATCAACGTAATCACAATGTAACCCAAAACAGTGTGATTACATTGATATGATTATGAGCAATAATTTATGCTCGAAACGTCATCAAGTAAATAATACTATATCACTATGTGTTATAAATCAAATAAACAAATCTGATATAAAATAACATGATATCAACGCTATCCTGAAATCAGTCAGTCCCCACAAATCACAGCTAGGCAATTGTGGTCTTTTTGTTGATATACTTGTAGTTCTCCGCTGTTATACAGGATGGAATTGTTTGACCTCTGTTGGCATATGGGCTCCTATGCGAATGCCTCGATATAGCCTGAATAATTATTATGAGGTCGAACGATTCGAGCCAGTATAACAGCGGATAAATACAACAAATACTAATGACTAATACCTGTTGTACAAGAGGTGGCTATGGTGCCTCGGTGGTCTAGTGGAAGGAATGCGTGTCCTAGATTCCTCTGCTAGTTAACTGTGTTCTCTGTTTTAAAAATGCTTAACTGATGGAAAAATCACCCTAATATCCATTTAGGTGACTCCATTACCTTGAAAAAATAAATATCAGCTCTTCTCATAGTTTCTCGCATTTATATGCAAGTGTTGTCAGTATATCATACCAGGAAAAACGAAGTAAGTGATTATGTTTCTTAAGTACAAAGATGTTTCTAATAGGTTTTGGATTCAAGTAATAATCCTCAGTACCACACTGGTGATTAGATCAAGATGTACTTTTTGTTTAAAAAATGCATGTCTGCCCAAATTTGCAAATGAAAGCATGTTTCTGACATGTTAGATATATCACAAACAGGAAATAAAAATAAAGTTCCCTAAACTTAAGTAAATATAAAAAGATCTTTCGAAATTATGATTTTATGTGTATCATTAGAACAGCTGAGTTGATTTAAAGTAAGTTCAGTTATATATCGGTAGACAAAATACTTTTTCGGTTCGATCGGCTATACTGAATGAAATAGCTAGCTTCAAATGGTCACCACTTAGCAGTAGGCATGTCACTGCAGAATATTTTATATTTTTGTGTGTAATTAAACATAAGACAAAAATTTCACTTTTTTTAAGAGGAAACTGAATGAAATTTTAAACAATATTCGTCAAGCACATCCTGAGTTGATTCCACAACAAGGTAAGCCATCTTTTTTAAATGCTGTGAACGCAAACATGATATAGTATAGAATCATCACCGTATAAGTTATAATCAATGTGAAATTACCACTGTGAAAATGTAGTCACGGCTTAATGGTTTGGTCCACAATATGGCAGTCACTGGGTGACTGATTTATGTATAACAATTTATGCAGTCAAGCGGGTAGCTTCTGCCATATTACCTGTCAGAAACCGAAGGTAAATCAAAACTGATATATGACTTCCCATAGTGAGCTTAGTCGGATTGAGCGTTGGTGGCAAAACAAGTATGTGCAAAGAATAACTTAATGGTGAACTATTGGACTTTAGCCCTGACTTATGGAGATATAAATCTGTGAGCATGAGTTTCCTCAAAGTTCCAAATAGATAGTGCTGATGAAACCTAATGAATATCGAACCTAAATTCAAGAAATACTATAAGTTGAATATCAGGATTCAACACTAACACCCAATGTCTGTTGCAGAGACGTCTACTTCATTTTATTACACAAGACTCCTGACCTGATAGACTAAAAGTTGTAACCACTACATTTTCTTGAGAGAAAAGTGTGCAATTTCATATTTACTACATAAACCTTTTAGAAAAGCATAAATTTAAGCACAAAAAATCTGTTATCAAGCGGCACCTTTAATACGTAATCATAAAACAGCCGGAATAAGTACGGTAAGTTATTTAAAAGAGAAAACGTTTTAAATAATATATTGAATAGTTAATGCAGGTATAAATAAAAGTATGAAATTCAATAAACAGAATTATTAATAAAATTCATTTACACACATTCAGTTCGCAACTGAAGGTCAACAGGTGCAGAAGAAAACAGCACAAAAATCACTATAAAAGTGATAAGAGGTGAAAGTAGCTAAACAGTATGGGAAAAACACCACATGGATGCTACATCAAGGTAAAAGACTGACTACATTCTTGAGGTTTGAAGTCTTGAATCAGTGAAATCTCTGCTTTAAATATTTGACTAGTTCTCTTCTTTGTTGAAACCACTTGGTTCGACTTTGGGGATTTTTGCAAAAAGATTGATCAGATTTTATCTAGTAAGGAGGAAAGTCGAATTCCGCAGCCATAAAGACTCAATGATAATAGTTTTAACTGCTACATAGTAGTGCAAAGTTTGAAATAATTTTTACTGTCTATCACTTATGTGAAAATCCAGTACTGAGTTCATACTGTTTATGAAACTCCCACACTTTTGACACCACTGTGATTGTTTTCTAAGTTGTTATACAATGTTTGTTTTTTACTTAATGAGTGAAATTTACCCTTCATCTGTTATACAGTTTTAGATTATAAAAAGCTGAGAAAAACTGTAACAGATTTCAAAAGTCCTTATTCATTATTTACATTTAATTACTCATTTAGTGGCCGTCGGTTATTTTGCGGATATATCTTCATACGAGGGAATAATACCTTTACAGGAATACATGGATCTCTATGATCTACCTTACGAAACAACAATACAATCTGGTAAATATAAATATTATGATAATTTTAACTTTTAACAACTATTTCTGCTTGTCATGCAAATGCAACTTTATTTTTCTTATAAATATGATTTGAATTGCATAAAGACCACTGTAACGTGACTATTTACTGAATAAGCTCATGTTTGCTAGCCAAATCTGTACATAATATAAGAAGTTAGTGGCCTACTGGATAACATTCTGGCGTTTTAAGTGATGGGTGTTGTGTTCGAGTTTCAGCGTGAACACCATCATTCAGTGGAATGCAGGTACATCTAACTGTTTAATACAAAACAAAACGAAACACGCATCCTGAATCTCACTGCTAGCCACCTCTATGCACGCAACATCAGAACAAAACTTTGGGCGATATAAAGGCATCAGTTCATGAAGCCTACATGCCATCGGAAATACATATATATAGTTTTATGTGTATCAACCTAATTGATGACTTTTTCACAGTTTCGATATACATATATTGAGTTCCATTGTTATCACCAACTCGAACGTTCACCTGAGCATTCTTAGGAAAGTTTTTAGGCTTGGAAACCATCAGCGCATTAGTATTTGAATATCACAGCATTTTATCGATGAGAAAAACTTAATTATGCCAAATGTTTGATACACATACAATTATCCTCTGCAAAAACTTTTCTGACAAGTTAGCAAGGCTCTGTACTGTCCAGTCTTGAAGAAGTCAATTCGTTGTGTGGTTGGTTTACGTAACTCGCCTAACTAAGAGGCACCACATGCATTACAGATACCGGAATGAATGAACAACTAGCTATACATAATCATTGCTGTAGCCTTGATGAAGATTGGCATCAAGCTCAGTCTGCTTAATCGACAACAATGTATTCATTCCTTGGTTTGTCAGTGACACAATAATGACTGACAAGAAACTCAAAAGCTTTTGTGACTATTCGAATGATGAAGGCAAATTATAACTTGATAAACCAAAGGCGACCAACTTTCCAATTGCAGAAAAATATAACCACAAGGTTAAGCATAAGTTAAGTGTATAATGTAATAAAAAAGAAGAGTTAGTTACAAAATTCATCAGTAAACTTACAGCACTAAAAATTTCTTAGGGTTTATAAACGAGACATCGATGGGATTTTTTAGTTATTATCCTGACGTTCAATCTTGGATTATATGAAATATTTGCAGAACAAAACTGAATTAAAGTGTCTGACGGTGAAAATTGATTAAATAACTTTATCTTTCTCGAAATCCCAAGCTTAGTATTTCTTTCAGCAACAATGAACTGCACAAACAGATTTAACACCTGAGAAAAAAGGAAACCATAGGGCAAAGTAATGAGCAATAAAAAAATTTCAGTGAACATGTAACATACAAACGTAGATACATGAGATCAAGATAAAAAGATTACTAGACAAACAGACAGCATTTATAGTCGTACACAAAGATAGATGAATATAAAAAGAGTGATATCAAAGTTGTGTGAGAATAAACAATCTGAAGTTAACGGGTAGTATGCATATTCAACCTTTAGAAGTATCAAAGAGTGAATACATCTGGACTATTGTGACCGATTTTCAGCTGTCTCATCAACAGTCCTCAACCACTGATTCCTTTCTTCTCGGTGGCCCCAACTAGACAGTCTACATCTCCCCGTACTACTCATGTCAACTGTAAGAGACTCTATCGACTGGCGCCACGTCTCGATCTAGCCACCCTCAACCTTCTATCAACTTAATCCAACATCCACCGGATTGGAACGTCCAGGTAGGCAGTGGTTCAGCATCCGTATTAAATGTCCAAGACATTTTAGTCGACTACGTTTCACAATCTCATAGACCTACTGCTTATCTTGTCTAGTAACTAGCACCTAGTAAAATAGTCGACCGAGATGGTTGGGGCGTATGTGACATATGCCTAACCACTGTCCGCCTTGTCGCACAATGTTGGCCGAAGTAATTCAGAAAGGAAGAAGAAGGCTCAGGGCGACCAGACTAAAAAATGGCATCAATGCATGAAGTCCTTTACTGTCCGTCTGAGCATATAGAGCGATGCAGACTAGCTGGTTGGGGTCCACGGGACAAGAGAAACCAGTGGTTGGAGGCTTTATGTGATGTAGCTGAAAACCGATGTCAGTAGTGCAGATGTATACACACATTATCCTCACCTCAACGACTTTATACCGAATCTCACCATCTTCTCATTCTTCCCTTCTCTCTCTTCGTAATTTATATTTCTTTTGACCGAATTTTCTTTTACTCATCTTCCACCTCACTGCCTTTTTACTTGATGTACTGATATGAGGTGTGGCAGCCAGGACAGCTACGCAGGATTGACTGGTCCTATGTTGATGGACGATGATGATGATGGGTCATTTTTCTCTGACCACAGTACTACTCCTACGGAAATTTGACTATAAACAAGCAATATCACAAAGACATGTGTGATAAAAACACTATAATCCCCTCATGTCTTCTACTCTTAACAGCCATGTCTCACAACCGTACAACAGGACAAGATGGAATGCAGTGCACTACACTATTCCTTTATTAGGTAGTCGGATATCTCACCACCAGGTGGCACAGATGACGTGAATTGGAAAATGCCTAACAGGCCTTCTTTATCCAAGTTGAGATTTCATCAGAAACCATCCTACTGGGAATAATGCAACTTCGTAAGTGAGTCAACTGGTCGACACATTTCACCACTTCACTCCCCATCAACAAACTGGGAGTACCTGCAGCAGACCAGTCCTGCGGCATCATCTCACATCTGACAGGTACCAGCGACACACATACCAAATATTCTCAGATTTCCACTCAACGCGTTCACAAGACCCCACATTTTTCAGCATCATTATCTAGTCGTACAATACCGTCAAATCACTCCAAGTCAACCAGATAACCTCTGGGAAGTAGATCGATCTCTGTGAAGTCAGACATAACTAAGATTATGTCCATTAAAAGTCTATAAAAAAGTTATGTAGGCACGGTGAGAGTGGGCATCCCTCGCGGACACCACTAGACGACGTCAATTCATATGATAACTCTCCATAAACCATTACACAACTGCTTCAGTTCGAGTAGAGACATTCAATACACATCATATACCTACCTGCTCAATACTCCCTGCACAGTCAGACAATGACACAACACCTCACGGTCGACAGAGTCAAACTCCGTCGTCAGGTCAAGAAATAAGGCAAGTGTCGGTCGTTGGCTGGTAAGCATCCCTGTGTTCCGGAACCTCTCGTAGGGTAAAAATATAATTGATATAACCTCAGCCAGCTCTGTCTGAAACCTGCATGGTTTTCCCGAGTTTGCTGTTCTCATGCTCCACTTAGGCATCAGATATCGATCGCTCCTAGGATCTTGGATCCAACAATAGTCAAACTGGCTCCTCCATGCTGTCAATGAATCCTGGTAAATAGTCGATCAGATAGTTTCACAAGTACTGGGCGTCAACTGAAAAGTTGTCATCAGATACAAGTTATATTTGGACAAATCTCTGCATGTTCCAAATGAGAAATTCCAACGTCCCACACGGAAGTCGACTTAGAGGTTCTTCAGGAACTCGCAGCGATTAGACAATGAAATCAACCATGCCACATTCAACCTGTTATATACATCTATGATATTGTAGATTTTGATTACTCCCCTGAACATGCTCGCACCAGACTTCCGTGTAAAACATCCAGACAACTTATTGCAAACAGCCTCACATTTGTCCCCCACGGTTATCACAGGAAGATTTCTCCCACTTCTTGTAGACTGCGATGATCAGTGAACTAGACCAGTCTGACGCCCCTACTCAGGATTCCCACATACTACCTTACCTAGTAACACCGTCACTTTAGTTAGCAATTCCCTACATCCAGCCTTAGAAACATCACGCGACAAACTGCCAGGTCGTGCTGCTTTGCATCCTCTCAGATCCCATAAAAACGTCTCAACAACAAAGAAATTTCGACGACCCACATCTCAGTCCTATTCGGGTTCAGACTGGATGTTGGGCATTTGAAGCGTTGCTGTTGCCCAGTTGAACTCGGCTTCAAACTGTCCAACCCAACATTCAAGCCACCTGCAGTAGTGACACTTTATCAAGATACCATCCTTCTCGCTACTCCTTTCACTCAACATCATCCTCTTATTCCCGGTATCCTTAATAAGACTTAACAGTTACTCGGTGTTGCCTAACAATCATGCCTTCTTCATTTCTCTCACTCGCGACAATCACCACTGCTCGCCATCATTGCGAAGACTCTTCATCAACTTACATTTCACTTGCTTTCACTCTTCATCATACTCAGAGCTAGCTGCAATCAGTCCTCCAGCATCAATCAGTTAGGATGATGTTGCAGAAATCCTACACCTTCGGGTGTAGGTGACCAACTGTCTTTAACACTGTCTCCACACCAGACTGAATAATACACCAGATTTCATCACGATCAGCATTCCTGTCATCTTCAGATAAATACCTAGCTAACTCCTCTCTCAATGCATATTTGGCATCTCCATCTTATAATCGAACATAGACAGGCTTTACTATCGCCTGTTTCCTGTAACCAGCAACGTCGAGATATAAACAAGCCCACACTACCGCGTGAACACAGTTAAAACTGGGACTCCAGAAACAGCGACAATCCTCCACCGATCCACTTCGACGATGGCTTACAGTAATATGATTCATGCGTGTCCATCGTTGCTTTCATGTCGGCCGACACCATGTAAGATAGGGTATCTCCTTATGCTCAAAACCAGTGCTGACCAGAAACAAGTGACTGTCGGAACAAAATTCCAACACACGATCGCCGTCGTCGTTTCTTTGGCATAGGACGCGGCAAATACCAACGAGGTGCTTTGCCCATCGGATCACCTCAGCTTCCCTACTTGACCATTATAACTACATCTGAATGGTTTGCTCTCCATAGCACGTTGACAGCTTCCCGTAGAATTCATCCTTTGCATCATTCGGACTGCACTCGATGGGTGCGTGGGTGGAGATCACCAACAAGCATCGGGTGGCCTGACAATCCTTCCTAGTCATTATAGATCCATCCCGTCGAACAACACACATACCCCTGTTTACTGGTATGCAGTCGAGAAGTGCACTCTCTGATACATAACTCAATGCTGTCCCCAAACAGGCGAGTTCACGAAAGCTAACCACTGGGAAATTTGAACACTCACTAATATGGACAGGTAACGCCAAATGAATAACCACACTCGGATTCCGTATACGTGTCTCAGAGACACACGACATATCCACATCTAAAGACTTCAGAGTTCTGGTGAGCGATGCCTGCTGTCTGATTTGGCATAGAGTTCGGACGTTGAAAGCTGCTGCATGAAGTCGATGGTGCGTTCTTTGGAGACTAGGACAGAGTTTTCTTTGGCTTTGATCTTTGACAATGATGGCAAAACGAGAGGTTGGGGAACGTGCAAGGAATTTACAAGTAGTATGAAGAGCTGGTGGGGAAGGAGTTGATGGGGACAGGTTATGTTTGATTGGGTCTTGTGTAATACTGGAAGGGTGCAGGCAGTTGACGCTTCCAACTGCCTGGGTCATAGAAAACTAGTTTTTCTTGATGCACCTGGGAAAGAATTGGTAGTGTCTGACTACAGAGCCCAAGGGACATCTACTTGAGGCCAATTATGCACTGCTTTTTGCCAATTTTGAGATTTTTGTTTTTGCATTGAAAGGGGATATGAATCCTTGTTACGGGTATTCGCATAACGCCAGGTTCAGCAGGGCTCTGTTTTCGAACCCGATCTATTATAACCTCGTTTCTCTCTTTAGGGAAGACCGTAGCAGCGTATCACTGCTGGTCATCTAAGGGCAACAACCTACTTCTTTCACACTTTCGCCCTCAGATCCCCATCATAGCGTTGCAATTTATACTATTATGGTGACAGAATTTTGTCTGGCCACTATCCAACAGATTCTTCTGGTATGGCAGGACCTCGAGGGAACAAACTTCTCACCAGTATAGCTCGTCTAGTCACTGTGATGTACAAGCTCGGCCACCATAACAAGGTAGCAGCTATTGGTAGGGAAAGGGATATGATTTCTAACCTCACAGTGTGCTCTGTGCCACGTCGTCAAATGTACTTTATCAATGACAATTAATATCTTGAAAAGTTCAACTGAGAGACTTTCACATCCTTAATCTGTGCAAGTTATTATCATGTTTTAGATCTTGTTACGTTAGGGTTTTTTCAACTTACTAGCAGACAATATATCTCATCCTGGTTATGATGACAATGTCATTGTAGCATACAGACCAACCATTTCGACCAATGTAGGTTAGCAAGGTACCAATTTACTTACCCTCACTACCGGAAATTATGTCCTACTTCAACTCTGTTCGCTCAGTGGTTGCATCACACACCTGAAATGCCTTTTAAAGACATATAATCGAATATCTTAAATATTTCTAGGTTAACGGTCACTGAATACCCATGTTCGAAAGTCCTCCAGTTACTGGTCATCATCAAAAATGACCCCATTCATTTCTGCCAAACTTCGAGTATATGCTTGGATAAGTTACTCATTTGAAACTTTCATAAACATATCTTTTGTTCATTGAGAAACTGATCAATAAAGAATCTTTTAGCACTAATTTCACTGCAATAATACGAAAAAGAAATTTTGTAGTACTTGGACGCATTTTGCACTTGGATGCGTTCAAGAGAGATAACTACCGATAAAAGTACAGAGAAAGCCATGAGGTGCTGTTCATATTTGCTAAGATATATTGCAGGTATTTTACGAATATGTATATTTAATCAAAAGCTTCAAGTATGCACGGCATTTACTTCTCAGTTCTGAACTTTAACTTGAAAAGAGTAGTGGGAAAGAAGAAGAAAACATATCTGCCACTGATATTTTGTTGCACTTCTACTTAGCAAGCTTTTAGAAATACGGACCGGATTGTGAACTAGTCCATTTTGACTAACTTAGACATTTGCTTTATTTCATATCCACCTATTAGATATGTAATTATTTACGACTGACAACTGTTGCATCCACTGGTCTGAAAGCCGCATGTAATTATGTCAATCTTGAGGTTTTGCGGTGGTGTCTCTATTTTATAAGGGTGTCTGGAAAGTAAAATCATCCTATCAAAGGCCCTATTCTCAAATAGTCATGGTGTTTTTGGAGCTTAAGGTCCGTGTGTAGGTGAGATGTCGGCATCCAGTGGTATCAGTGTAATATTTCTTGCCACTTTTTCTCATTTAATTTTATCGTCGGCATACTTATTATGGCCCCTCTCTCCTCACCTAGCTACATGGGAGGTTGTCTCGTTTTATAAGATTCCTTAAGCAATTTAGGGTACACAGAACACAGTCTTGTTACTGAAGTTCCAGACGATATGCAGACTCTGTTGAACACTGATAGTGATTGCGAATTGTTTCTTACTTCCCACATGCAGAATTTTACTGGAAAAGTAGTTTGAATAGGCGCCTATTTGGAAAGTGTAGAAGTAAGTGGTTAAGTGCGGCGACCACTTTATTTTTTAGGAAGTCCCTATGAGTTGGTGGTGAATTAAGATTTTACACAGATAAAAATATCTGATTAGCTTCTTCCAAATTATACCACTCGTGCCACCGCACACATATTCAGTTGGTTAATAAATCTTAGTTTTACTGCCTAGAAATTTCCTCCACCACTGTATATGGTTGTTAAAATTACTGATAAAGCTGACTGACATAAAAGGAGTATGGACATCTGATCATGATTGCCCCTTCAATACTTCCTACTTGCGAACGAAGTAGATACTAGGTGCACAGTACTGAGTCGATAAGGTAATTCACTTGGTACAGCTATCAACTTTCAATGCTAAGGAAACTGATACGTATTACGCATGTCTACCCCAGCAAGTGACGCTAGCTAGCGTGAAATGAGGTTGCAAGAAAATCCTATGCTGACCACAGCAAAACCACAGTTCTGACTCATGAAGTCTCTGAATGTTGGTATGAGGTTGGTAAGGCAAACGAAATAAATGACTAATAACTATATGACAAGAGTTAAAATTGATTGGCGTGGTGTAAACGCATTCATGATTTAGCTTGAGAGTAATAGGGTGTTTCTTAGTTTTCTCTACATCCTTCTTATCTTACCGTTTTTCACAGCTTGTGGTCTCATTTTTATCTCTTTCGCTGCATTTTACCTTAGCACACTGACGTGAAGTATGGCAATTTAGACCCTTAAGTATTGATATCGGAACAGATCTGCACCTCAAGAGAACTGTTGCTGAATAGGTTGGATTAGGAAGGCATAGGACTTGTGGTGACAGTGGAGTAAGTGATTGTCAGTATAGCCATTTACACTGTCGTATGTCATTGGAATGTAACCGCTGAAATGATGATTGTTGCTTGAACACAGTTGACTGTCTGGTCCAATGGAATTTGCGATGATTATTTTTATTCTACCTTTTACCTGTATCCCAAGAAAGTTATTTTCTTTAACCTAACATTCATATGAGTTGTAATCACGGCCTAGATTACTACTTCTTGTCTAGTGTTTTCGAAACGGACTATGAACAACAGCAAATTTGTGCTGACATTTTGTTGATTAAGTTAAACTGATAGGCTATTTGGTGGTTTGTTAAATATTACCGAGAATGAACTATAGTGCTTGGTTCCGACCATATCTGGAACGCTATTATCAGACATTTAAAAAAATGTTTCTCTACGCTTATATGAGTTACTAAAATCTGAAGCCTCAAGAAAAAAGAAAGACAATTTAGCTCAAGCACACCAACGTCAATGTGGACATGATTCAAGTAATTAAGCTTAATAGATCAAATAAAATTGTGCACATTTCCAAAAGTAATGAAAGAATGGAAGCATTTTTTTGCATTTGAAAAAATTAGGTCACCAATCCTCAGTTGCTGTATCACCCGAAACTAAAGCTTAAATGACAAGCAAACTATGTGTACAACATAATGTACTAATTCCTCCTCTTTAATGTTTTGTGCGCATTGTTCGGCAGTATCATATTCGGTGAAAACACTACACAACTGTATACAAGAATTTTTTGTTCGAAAAGCCTTCTGTCAACAATCGACATATTTCTTGTAATTTGGTGTCAGCATCATGTTCGTGTCATATGAATCAAGTGGGATCTATAAACGAATTAGTTACCAAATCTATCCAATAAATACACAAGGTGTCACATTAACTACTAAGTCTTGGGATTCACGATGGCCTCAATGAAACAGACACTTTTATAAGTCGAAAAATATGACTAACTACAGCAGACATCTTTATGGGAAAGAAGTTTGTAAAACCTGAATCATAAATAATGATAACTCTTAGTGGCAATGTATAGACAATTAAAAAGCCTATTTAAATGTTCAGAACACTACTAGTAGCTGTCAGTTTCGGAATTAGCTTTCTGGTGTACTTAGAATGAAATGTAAACCAGTGACAGGTTTTTACCAAGTGTTAAAACTCGAACATTACAACAACATTGAGGATGACCATTTACTGAAGAGTATCTGGATTTTAAGTGATACACCAGGATAATCGAACTTAAATAAGGAATTAGAGTATAGAAACTTCATAAAAAGATATGGAAAATAACTAATACTTTTCTTTTTCTTATTCTGCTAGAGCTTACCTGGCCTATTCATGGGAATAAGTATTTTTACACCTGAAGATATTGAAAATCAAAAGGCGCTAACGTGAACAGAACTTTAAAATTTAATGCGTGCAACAAAAGATTAATTTATTGGAACTCATTTGTTATTTACAGACTCTTAGATGATAAACATGATGACTGAAAAAAATTTACTTTTAATTTATGAGGGTTTATTTCAGTCAGCATGATCGATTTCATTTATGACCTTACTGCAAACGAAAAAATATAACGTGCAGAGAATTTCTAAAGGAAAATGATCATTCTAAGATATGAATCCGAATCAGTCAATGAACAACAGACATGGGAACTGACATTTCTGTGTAAAAGTTCAGGTTGTAATACATCATTTCAGAACATCAAGCTTGAATCCGTCAAGATGAAAGAAACAAAGAAAAACGTAATCAAAATGAAAGTAAGTCGCGAAAAGAAAACAAGAACGAACAAAATAATAAAATTCTACTAGGTGACCAAAATAAAGATAATGTGTGGGCGCATTTGGGCCATTAAAATTGATTCTTAGCCATATCATTTAGAGTCTTCAACTACCGATTTTCGTTGTCACGTGGACACAAACCGAAAACCCTAGGGATATCCCTAAATGGCTCAGAATAAAATTAGAAGACTTCAGAGTCGGGTGCCATTTTTCATTCTGGCAAGGTCTAACTTTATTTCAGTGTAAGCCTACTTCAGCTAACATACCACAATGAGCCAGACAGTAACTAGAAATGTCTAACACATGTGCATCGGTTCAAATTGCCACACTTTACAGTGGTACACAAAGACAGATGAATATAAAAAGAGTGATATCAAAGTTGTGTGAGAATAAACAATCTGAAGTTAACGGGTAGTATGCATATTCAACCTTTAGAAGTATCAAAGAGTGAATACATCTGGACTATTGTGACCGATTTTCAGCTGTCTCATCAACAGTCCTCAACCACTGATTCCTTTCTTCTCGGTGGCCCCAACTAGACAGTCTACATCTCCCCGTACTACTCATGTCAACTGTAAGAGACTCTATCGACTGGCGCCACGTCTCGATCTAGCCACCCTCAACCTTCTATCAACTTAATCCAACATCCACCGGATTGGAACGTCCAGGTAGGCAGTGGTTCAGCATCCGTATTAAATGTCCAAGACATTTTAGTCGACTGCGTTTCACAATCTCATCAACCGACTTACCTAACATGTCTGGTACAATATCGATAGCTGCACCTTGGTGTGACAATCGGCCCTGCATATCAAAATGACCCAACGAGCTATACTGGTGGAACACTTGCTCCCTCGAGGTCCTACCATAACACAGAAGGTCTGCTGCATGGATAGTGGTCAGAAAAAAGTAGTTATCGTTATGGTGTAAATCGCTACACTATGATGGGGGTCTGAGGGCGAAGTCGTACTGCTGCTACCTGGATGGGGTGTGACAGCAGTAAGGTGTTTCCCTTGAATGACCACTACTGCCATGTTGATCCTGCCTTCTCAGTGGAGGAGGGGGTTAGAAAAGGTCAGCCCCGAAAATAACACACTCCACCATGCCCCACGGTCTGCGAGTAGGCAGTATCGGTTCATTTGTTGTTTCCTTCCGACCATCCGGCCCCAAAACAACAAAAGCTAAAAACAACCATACACAAAAGGCTGCGTATGACAGGCCTCAAGAAGATTTCTAATGGGCTCTACGGTCACACTAATCTCTTTCAGGTACTTTGAGAAGAAATAGCCTTCCACGGTGTGGGCAGCCGGGAAGTGTCAACCCCTCTCATACCTTCATCAGCACTCAAGTTTCTTCAGACTGCTATCCACCCTCTCCATCATTACCTTCTAATCTTCCTTCATGTCTCTCAATTAACGATACTACATCATCTTCAATTTCTCCTACCTCTGCAGCCTTCGACAACGATCTGAATCCACAGAATAGCATCCCTGGTCTCCATAAACTACGCTACAAATTACACATCGAGGCCTTTAATGTTCACACCGTCCGTCAAATTGGTCAACAGGCTTCGTTGCCAAATACTTTAGTAACTCGGACCATGGATGTGTGCTGTGTCTGCGAAACAAGCATATAGGACCCAAGCGTGGTTATTCACCTAACCTCTCCTGACCAATCTGGTGAATCCGCAATTTCACCTTTCGAGTTTATGGAGATTCGATGGCTAGCTCTCGTGGTCTTGTAGGTGTAGGCATAGCAGTAAGCACTAGGGTAGAAAGCTCACTACTAGACTGGATCACAGTTGATAGTCGCCTCTGTGCCTATGCCCCTGAACGGGCACGGTGAGAACTAAAACGAATAGGGAGACTCGCCGTTGTCTCTTTGTAATCTCTGCTTACGCACCCAATGACTGCAGCTCGGATGAAGTGAAGGACGAGTTCTACCGTAAACTGTCTAACCTCCTCTCGAAAGCCAAACGTTCAGACGTGGTGGTTGTTGCAGGTGACCTCAACGCACAGGTGGGTAGACTGAGTGAGGCAGAAAGGCACTCAGGTGGCGCTTTCAGAATCCCGACTGAATGAACAGATAACGGTGATCGCCTACTACAGCCGTGCTCAGATAACCACCTATTTTTAGCTAGCACAAATTTCAGACACAAAGAAAGACACCATCTGACGTGGTGTCCACTGAGCTTAACTCAGCGATGGACACAGATAGACCACATTGCTACCAGTCATCGCTGGAGAGGATTGGTGGGAGACTACCGCTCCTACTGGGTACGTGTTTGGATAACGACCACGCGTTGGTCCGAGCGCGTACATGCCTGCGTCTCAATGGACGTAAGAAAAATCTCGCAACAATACCATCACGAGTGAAGCTCGACAATGAAAACACCAAAGCCGCTTTCAGTGAGAAATTGGCTTGGCGGTTATAGCAACACAAGACTATCACTCATTCAGAAGAAGCTTGGTGCCATTTCTAGCCTGCTGTAAAAGCAGCGCTAAAAACCGTAGCTGACTCTGAAAGAGTGGCCGAAAAGAGCCAATGGATATCACCAGCTTCTTCAGAACTAATGCTTGCGAGTTAACGCATCCTAGCAGGCTCTGAGTACAATGACGAGTGAGCGCAACCTAAGAGTAGATTGAGAAAAAGTCTACGCAACGCTTACGAAAACTGGTGAGGAGCGAAGGCTAAAGAGATGGAAAAGACAGCGGCGATCGGTAACAGTAGACAGTTATTAAGACTTATTAAGGAAACTGGGGGGAAATGTCTACAACAGTAAGTGAGACTACAGAGGAGCGTAATGGGTCTGTGATTTACTCGCAGAGGAGACGACTGGAATGATGGACAGAAAACTTGGAGGAACAGTTTAAGTGACCTCCGGTCACCACTGCATTGCCCTCTATCCAGTCGGATCCTGAATAGGACATAGAGATAGGCCCCTCAACACTAGAAGTCGAGAAAGCTGTAGCTAACTTGAAACGAGGAAGGGCAACAGAACCAGATGGACTAACTCCTGAGGTACACAAACATGGTGGTAAGGTGCTCTTAGTCAGGTCAACGTAATCAAATACGATTCCCTCTGACTGATCTAAATCACTGATTATTCTAGTCGTCAAGATAGGCGAGATGTCCTCTTGTGATAACCACAGACGAATCAGCCTGACAAACATAGTATCTAAAATCCTAGGTTCTATAATTCTTTGACCCTTGAGTGGAGCTCGGGAACAACAAGCCCGAGAAATACAGGCAGGATTTAGACCCAACCGCGGATGTATCAACCAAATACTCCCATTGCGCCAGGTTCTGGAACACAGGCACGTTACCGATGCTCAACAATAGCTGTATTTCTCGACCTAAAGATGGCACTCGACTCCGTTGATCGAGAAGTCTTATGGTAATATCTCTCACTGAAATGCATCTCGATTAAGTATATCACCTTATCGAAGGCTCTCTACCTGGACAATCGTGGGCGTATTAGAGTCTATGGTGAGACCTCCAGGAAGCTGTGCCCGTCTAGTAGTGTCCGCAAAGGTGCCCACTCTGTCCATCCTTATTCAAATTTAACATAGATATTCATATGGAGGTCTACCTCTGATCACCAGAGTTTGATTATTTCCCTAAGCCTTAAAGATCAAACTTTTCATGCAGTAATAGTAAGTCTTTGACTATTATTTGAAAATTATTAGCAAATGAACAGACAAATACATAAAAAATGTACTACACGAGCAAACATTTCATGTTTCGCCACACCTACACCAGAGCATAAGTTGCATGTTAATGAAACTAACTACAGGACACAGAAACTTAGTGGCACGACTATATATATATATATATATATATATATATATATATATATATATATATATATATATATATATATATATATATATATATAACCTCGCCTGGTTAACTAGTTTACTAGTTACTAGCCGGTCCTAAGCCCGGGTAAAGAGGGAAGGTTGGGCATAGGGCTAGCAACCCTACTCCGTAAAACAAATCTAACCGCTAAAGAAACTTCAAAGCACAAACAAAATATAAAAAAGAAGAAGAAGAGTGCACGCAAAGACAAAAGACACTTCTACGACACACTGGCAAGTGAAGCAGACAGGCTGCAGGTAAGAGAGACCTGACAACATTGTATCAAATAACCAGGTTGCTATCAGGGAAGAGACCAACACAGATGAAACCAATAAAAGATGAAGAAGGAAATTTAATTACGAAAGAAGAGAAACAGAGGAAACGATGGGCCGACCACTTCAAGAAGCTCTTGAATCGACCACCACCTGCACTTCGTCCAGAAATACCACCTGCAGCCGCTGAACTACAAGTGAACATTAATCCCCCAACGAAAATGGAAGTCCTGAACGCCATAAAGCTACTGAAATGCGGGAAAGCAGCAGGACCAGATGGGATACCGCCAGAAGCACTGAGAACAGATGCAGAGACAACAGCGGACATGCTCGAGTGACTGGCCTGACGCGTGATGTCCTCCGTCGGCCTTCTCAGTGCATGGCCAATCCATCTCCACTTCTTCCTGCATATTTGTTGCGTGATAGGTTCTTGGTTGGTTCGTTCCCAGAGTTCCTTGTTGCTTATTTTTTCTGGCCATCTGATCTTCAGCAGCGAGCGTAAGCAGTTGTTGATGAATGTCTGTAGTTTATTGGAAATACCTTTCGTGACGCGCCAAGTCTCTGAGCCATACAAGAGCACTGACTTGACGTTGGTGTTGAAAATCCGTATCTTGTTCCGCATGCTGAGTGCAGGAGATCT